GTGGTGCTATCGCCCTTGGGCATCCGCTTGGTGCAACGCGTATTTTACGAAGTCGTGTATGCTTTAATCTTAACACAACATAACAGGTATTTTACGAAGTCATTTATGCTCAACTCTCAACACAACATAAATGATGGTGGACTGATCTTTGTCCCTGTTAGTTAGATGATTTTCAAAACCAAAATCTTTAGCTACACTAGGTGAGCTAGGAGCATCAATTCAAACAGTCCACCTATGTTCTTTAGGTTATTATCTATGACCAATCCATAGGTAAGTGAATTAATGTGAGTAAATTCTAATCCCAATACAACGTAATGTTGAGACGACGTCCAGGTTAAAGCAGACCATACTAGTGTGAAAGACCGTGTTTCACAGCGTGGCTTGCTGTTGAGTTGTTTTATGATATTGTGGCAGACAGCTTAATATTACACAGACGACTATATTAACAAAAAATTGCCTTCTAGAAGTGCACTTGAGTTTTGTAATTGACTAGTTGACACGGTATTGGATTGTTAAAAGTATTTTGGTTCAGGGAGGAAACCTGAGTGATAAATGGACGTTTGTTATGTTGGCATTATTTGTGGTTCAAATCTCTCATCTCTGCGGCACTGGGGTCCTACATCCAGTCGTCTGCATAACCCCCACCGAGAAAACACACATGCATGATGCATGAGCCCCCTTACTAATTATGCACTGTCGAAACTCTATATTGAATGTTGTGTTTGCAGCTAAAACCTCTACCTGATGCCGCATCATGAATCCTCCTATTATTAACTTCACCATCACTCGCCTTAATTTGTTTACAGGTGCACGCTGTGTGAGTACTCTACCGAAGGAAATGACACGCAGACGCAAAGACTGTCGCTTTGGAGTGATATCTATGTGCGTAGGTTGATTTTTATCCTCAACTGGAAAACCAATTTTTCACAGATTTTTCTTTGATCAGTCGGTTTGAATCCCCTCACAGGCTCTGCTGGGATGGGAGCGGCAGCAGTATCTGAGAGGGGAGATGCAGTTGATCAACTCGGCAATGCTCAACAAATTCAGTCCAATAACTTGTTGTCAAAAGATGCTATGTAGATAGATCGCCATCCTTCTATTTGCTGCAGATTGAATGCATAGAGACTCTTCAATGTCAAGATGTTAGTTGGTGGTGAAATTGTGTTGTTGTTGTTAGTAATAATGCTCGTAAATCCCGGTGGATTCGGAGGAATAATACGAGGATCCGTCACAAGAAGTAATATTTCAAAATATCTATCAACGGAGCTCGTACCATACGTAGGGAAAAATATTTATGTTCTGTGCAAGTGATGTATTTTGTTTTTTAGCATCTGAAGAGTGAACCACTCCAGCTTGAAATCAACTAGTGAATTATTATTTTGATATGGTGGTTGGATTACTTGGGACATAGGCACCAGCACGGTTGGGAATATTAGCAAATGCATGCGTAAACAAAGACTGTTACAGATAATGTTGGACATGCTTTTTATAGTTTAATGAAAAGATTAGGGGACATGGCACCAAGTTCAAAGGAAAGTGGTAGAGAAAGTACATATTCAAAGATAAACTAACCTCGGTTGGGTTAGGGATAAACCCCCATAACCCCAACATTTTGGGTAACCTATAATCATATCCACCACTTAGAAAACTTTGTTAGTGCTTCACTGACTCCTTACTTTGTGGCCAATGGACTGTTTCGGGGAAAGCTTTTAAAGCGATTCTCTTTTATAAATTTGGTGCTAATAATGTTTTGCTTGAACAAACAACTTGTTCTTTTCTGCTCGTTGTGGTGATTAGCTATTGGGTTTAAACCATGTGCAGTGTGCCCCTGTTTACACGTAGAACATATGGGTAGAATACAAAATCAGAGAAAATACATTGTTAGGTTGAAGTCCACACAATAGCTTTTGTTTGAGTAATAACAAATTCTCATTTGGTACTAATATTTGTTTGAGATGATATAGTACATGTGAAAACAAATATACGGAGATTATGATGCGAAACAACACAAAAATCAGCATTTACGGTGATTTCAGCTTTGGAACCATTAATGGTCTACGATGAACCATCGATGGTCAAGGTCATTGATGGGCTATAATGAACAATCGAAGAAATTTCAGGAATCGTCGATGGACTATAGAGAACAATTGATCGTCCCTCGAACCATTGATGGTGCACAGTGAATAATTGTAGATTTTTAGAAACTCAAAGTTAGACCATCAATGATCTACAAGCAACCATAGATGGTGCCCAAGGAACCATCGACGGTCGAGATTGCCTATCGATGGTAACTCTGCTTTTTGGCAGATTTGAAGACTTAATCACAATTGTTCGTGATCCATTTCATCTTGAACTTCTATTATGATTTCAATATATCTTTTCCTATTGAGCAAATGCTATATAAGATAGAAAGAGATCATATTTTGCAGAGGTTCTATGTAGGCCTGTCCATCCGGCCCGGCCCGGCCCGGCCCGGAAATCTGGGCCCGGGCCGGGCAAATCCGGAGGCCAGGTTCGGGCCCAGTACCCCGGGCCAGGTCCGGGCCCGGCCCCGGGCCCGACCCGGTTTTTTTCTTTTTTTAAAATTTTTTTATCAAATTTTTTACATTTTATTTAAATTATACAAAAAAACAAAAAAAATAATAATAAATAATACTTTTATTAAACACTTAAAATGACATAAATTACAAATAAAAATTATAAAAATAAATTCTTTATTAGTAATTAATAAATTATTTACAAATTACAAGTATAAATTTATTTTGGAATTCATCGCCTCACAATAGATAAGTACATCCAAACTAGGTTTTTTTAAATTTCTTTTCTTTTCTTTTTTTGATAAAAAATGCTAAAAATTAGTTTAATATTATTATATTTTATATAATTATGTATTAGTATATACTTACAAATTATTATGTAACTATATATTATATATACATATATTATATGTAAATATATTGTATATATTTATAAATTATAACTTGAGAGAGAAAGAATCGCATAAGTAGTCATTGCCCGTTGGACCAATGGGAAAGAAGTAGCCGTTGTAATATACTATACTTATATATACTTATATACTAAGAGAGAGAGTATACACACACACACACACACACACATATTATACATATATAAGAGAGAGTATACTTATATAAGAGGGAGTATACATATATAAGAGAGAGTATACTTATATATACTAAGAGAGAGAGAGAGAGAGAGAGAGAGAGAGTATATTAGTATATATATATATATAGAGATTAATGGGTATCCTTGTCATAGGAGGGGATTTCCTCCTTGACGCCTATAAAATCACATGATTGAGCGATGTTATGGATGATCCGCTCCGTTGAAATTGATCTACATATTCTAAAACCCCAACACACCAAGTTTGGGGTGAATCCGTCGTCGTTTGACCCTCCATCGAGCCATGTGAAAAGTTCTATTCATTCAAAACCGTTAAAATTGATACGAGTGGATGAAGGGTCAAACGACGACGGGTTCACCCCAAACTTGGTGTGTTGGGGTTTTAGAATATGTAAATCAAGTTTAACGGAGCGGATCATCCACAATGTCGCTCAATCATGTGATTTTAGAGGCGTCATAGGAGGAAATCCCCTCCTATGACAAGGATACCCATTAATCTCATATATATATACACACATATATTATACATATATAAGAGAGTATATATTTATATATACTTATATAAGAGAGAGTATACATATATAAGAGAGAGTATACTTATATATACATATATACTAAGAGAGAGAGAGTATATACATACATACATACATACATACATTATACATATATAAGAGAGAGTATTCTTGTATATACTTATATAAGAGAAAGTATACTTATATATACTTATACATATATATACTTACATAAGAGAGAGTATACTTATATATACTTATATACTAAGAGAGAGTATATATATACACACATATGACATATTATACATATATAGAAATAAATTATATAAGAGAGAGTATACATATATAAGAGAGAGTATACTTATATAGAGAGAGAGAGAGAGAGAGAGAGAGAGTTTGTAAAGAAGATTTGATTTGTGATTCGAACCCTCATGAGCCTCATCAAACTCTTTCTCATCGCGCTTAGCATCTTCGGATCATATCAGCGAGAAGAGTTGCTCTTGAATTCAACATCATTACTGTTTCTTCATCAAACTTCACTTCAATCTTTTGAAGAATAATTTGCTTAGAAAAATGATTGTGGGATCTTTTCAAGTTGTGTTTAAATTATTTGGTATTTTTTATTTTATCTTGTTTTTACAGCATACTCAAGTCAGTGATAATTGAGGATTGGGAGTAGCTAGCTAGATGTTACTCATCTATAAGGACTTAGTTTAGATGATTGGTTTCAGGTAGATTTCAGGGTGCGGGTTTTGTAAGCCTACTGAATTAGATTGTGATTCAGGTGAATTGTGACCATAGTGAGGAAGACCCTTCGAAGAGTGGACGTGAGATTGTTATCTGAATCACTATAAAAATCTTACATGTTCCTTGATTGGTTTTTAATTGGTTGTTCGCTATTATATTTCTATAATTGTGCTGTATATTCTGTGTTTTTAACGAAACTATAGGCGAACCTATTAAAACCCCCGCTAGACTTGCATCTCAGGTGCATGATGCACATAAATAATCATTGAAAATAGCTCTTAAGTGAGTACCTAATCAAACAAATAATAATAATAATAATTGGCAGATGGGATCATTCTTGTGCGGAAGCATTCTATGCTGCAATGTGATTTACATCTTGTTGAATATTACATGTTATATTAATCGTGACTTTAGTAAATTATTTGAAAAATGTTCATATAGATAAGACATACGATACTCTTTCAAAGAGAGGACGGGTTTCTGATTTGCTTTTCACAGAAAGACTGGTATGTTAAACTGTTTTATGGTTAAATGTTTGGAAAATTAGTGTAGCTGAGAACGGTACGTTCAACTAGAACTGCTGTTAAGGTAATTCTAAACAAAATCATTCAAAATAGAGGGAAATGGTCAGAAGCTGCCACAAATTTTGGAATGTCATCTCGTGTTGATGTTTGTTAACCAAACAACATGAAACAAGAAAATTACTTTGGCTTAACAGCTACATTAAATTTCTTTTTTTTTCTCTAAAAAATGAGCAACGAAAAAGGGTTAAAGGCAGTTGAAACTTCTAGGATGTGTTTCGTGAATTCTTGAAAGTGAGTAGGGACTGAACCTGATCCAGTTTTGAGTTTGTTTTTGATTGACACGGTTCTTCTTAAGGCAAAAGGGGACTGTAAAAATCACCACCCTCTTGATTTAACTCTAAACTTGTTTAGAGTTAAATGAGCTAGGATTGAACATAATCAATTTTTGGGTGATTGATAAAAGGCTAAATAGCACTTAAACACATTATAGCTTTACTCTCTTAGCACTTGTATACCCTTAGTTGTATTTTGTAGTAGTATTTATACACCCTAAGTTGTTCAAAATGAGCACATTAATACCCTCTATTTTGCAAACGTGGAAATTTTCATCTGAAAGTTTCATATAACATTCGTATGCTGATATTAAAACTTTTTGTCAATTAAGTTTGTTGAATTCACGGTTAAATCTTTCCAAGTTTTATTTTTAAAATAGAATTTAAATACATTTAAATTAGAATTTTGGATAGATTTAATAGTAATTTAACAAATATTAATGATTAAAAAACTTTAAAATTAATATATAAACTTACATGAGAAATTTCGAATGAAAATTTTCTTATTTGCTAAATAGAGGATATTATAAATGACACGAAATATAAATGAGTGAAATTATAAGATGTTTAAGTACTATTTAGCCTTGACAGTTGACACAAACCCCACTTTGTCACGAAACTGTCAAAAATCCCCTGAGGTTTCAATACCACGGGTACAAAATTGAAAATAAAATTTTGATAAAAAAGAAAAATATTCACGAGTGCGGAAGAAGACACGGAAAGTTCACCTGCAAATGGCGCATGCGGGTCCCATCGTCTGACCTAAAAATAAACGCGCGTATCCTGGACTCATCATGATCAGTATCCTTTGGTGGGTCCCACTAGCGCGGTGGGCCTGTCTCCCTGTGCTCGACACGCCCGCCCCAGATTATCACTCACGCCTTTAAAACTCACCCAAACATTCACCCGCGTATGCTACCGTGGGTCCCCGAATATGACGTGTCCAACGTGCTCGAGAAGCTCGTCGGGTGGGACCGCCCTTGTCGGGCTGTCGCTCGAGGGTCCTTTTTATTTGGAAACCAGCTCCAAACCAATATCTCGGGAGCAGTTTGTGGTATTATTATGTCTCAATTCAATTTATCGTTATAATTTATGGTCTTGAGGTTTTTTCGGGGGAAACACAGCCCACTGTGAAATTTAGGGTACCTTTGTTTTGATTTCTTTGAAGAGGAAAACCGGTCAAAACTATTAGTTTTAACAGGTTTTTTTTGTAAAAACACTTTTTTAGAGGTATTTTTGCAAGAAAGCCTGTCAAAACTGACAGTTTTGTCAGTTTTGACAGCTTTCACTCTACTTTCTTCTTCAAAAAATCAAAACAAACGGGCCCTTACAGCTCGTTTATTTTTATTTTTATTTTATTATAGCGGATCGTTTTAATCTTCATTTTACTAAATAAGAACATAAGAGACTCATATACACAACAATGACTGGGTATTGATTCTAACAACACCAAAATAGTTCTACTTTGATTGTATCTTTATTATATATAGCTTATGTTGTTTTCAAACACGTGAAACAATCTTTAGGCTGCATACAACTTGATCACGATCAAAGCATAGTCATAAATTAAACACGTATCAAAATATTCAAAACACAACAATAAAATATATCAAGTAAAATCTCAAAATCGATCTTTCCATATTAATCACTCCTAACAACTGTTCTAATTAACTTGTTCCAACTAAGACAAGATAGAATAACGAATCAAATCTTTAAAAAGAAAAACAAAAGCAAATCAGTGTCCTCGCATGAATCCGAACTCCCAAAATCTTTACAACTTCTTTTTTGTCAACTCTCTCATTGTTCTCATCGACCGATGACAATAGACTTTTTTTTTAGACAAGCTTTGCTTGAATAAAGGCACTTCATATCAACCAAGATTTCCCTTGTACTAAAGACATTGCTTTTGTAATTTTTAATCCTGTTGTGTTAATAATAGAGAATTGCAAGCTAATCTCCGATATCAACACTTTTATCTTTCTTGGTTGTTGAGGACCACCAAATTATATTTAAGGGAACATCTTTTTATTTGGCAGCTAATGGGGAAGTGTTCAAGTGGTCCAAGAGAGAATAGAGTCGAGATTTGAGGAATTAAACAGAGTATTTTGAGATTTAAGTGCGCAATGGAAGAGGGAGTCATTGAAAACTTACTTATAAGTATAAATTATAATGTTATCTCTAGTGACAATTTGGTAGATTTATCATATTTTCATTTTGCCTTTATTATCTAAATTAGCACGTCCTTCATAGTCCCTTGGTTTTATCAACACTTGCATAAATCTTATTTATTCCTTGTCAAAGTAATTAAATATCGCTTAATTTCATTAAATATTACATTAATTCGTAAGTGGAGGTTGTAATCTAACGTTGAGAATGTTTCCGACATGTTGTCGATGGTAGGAGATGGCGAGATGGTATGTAAAAAGATCCGTTAAGCGAAATATCGAGAAGATTACGGAGGAGAGGGAAAGTTTTGATAAAACACCCTAGTAACCTTGTTAATTCTTTTCTTGTACATTATACCCTTAACATTTACTTATATGAATGTTTTAGCAAATTGAGACGCAAAGCAATGTGAGAAGTGACACAAATATGAAATAATCGTTGTTTCACGTCAAAATACTAAATGTAAATACAGGTCTTTTAATTTTGAGCTTATATTGTGTCAACTGCCCATGGCACTACACTAAAACTGTGAATTTATAGAGAAAGTTGTAGATTATATTCGCATATCTAACATTTCTGTACAAGTTGAGCTCTCTT